CACGAGGAAGGAATCGATCACAGCGACTGCAACACTCACCCGATTTCGATGTAGAGCGGTCGATCGAAGGGTAACATCCTAACCTACAGTGTAGATACAGCAAAGCAAATTCATATCGGTGTTGAAGAGTATTATCGATCAAAGTGTCCAATGCTGGCTCGTTACATAGGGTGGCTCGCGACGCCGGGAGGGACGTTATAACACTTTCTTGGTGTAAGTTCTACTATCTAACACGTAAAGACAGTATAGCAAGTACACATCACCTATAGTTGAAGTGATAGTAAGAAGGCGACACAAGTTCGCAAAGAAAGGTAATATACAGACAGCATGGTAAGTTCACTAACACCTTGAGTTGAAGTGATATTGATAAAGCGTCATAAACCTCACAAAAGGGTAAATACAGACCGTATGATAAGTTCACCAACATCTTCAGCTGAAGAAACAAGAAGAGGCGACAGGGATTCACACAAAGGTGATGCAGAGGCCTTTTACGTCCGGTGCATTAGAAGCACGACATTTCTGTGAAAGAGGTCGATATGTTGGCAACGTCCGCTCGATGATCTGTGCGATTCACGATTACAAGACGGTCCAGAGTAAATACGCCTAGATGGAAGTGAATGTCAAGAAGAGCAGGTGTCGTCTGATCAAAATATGCCACGTGGAAGAGCGACCTAGATCGTGGGCCGATCAGCCACGTTCTGCAAACCTCACGCGAGGCTTTCGATTTTGTGGGGCTCAAGCCGACACCATCACGCCACATCAGCTCATGCGCCATGCTCCTCCGCACGAGCGGACGCTCCAGACGCCGGCAACTCCGTTCGGTGCAATAAGAATTGCAGTAGTGTGACAACCGCGATGTTTGCTCGTTCATAGTTGTTGCGGGTATCGGAGACGCCGATGACGCTCGTGCGGTACCATCACTCCATCGCCGCCAACGAGCATATGGAGTCAAGTCCTGGTCTTGCAATTGACGATTTGCCTAAAGCACCCATCTCATATACTGTGGACCTTTGATCAGTGTAGATCAGCGTGAACATTCTTGACTGGTTCCTAGGCGCGAAATCAACGCATAACAATCGCTCACAATCTGATCTGGTCCCACTCGACATAATGGAGACTATGTTTGATTCCCTTGAGCCTGATGCCGGAGAAATCATCAGCGTCGATCGCTGCAAAGCTGAGTTTGTCCAGCTCGAGAATTCACTCGCCGCGTTGGATAAGCTGTTTCAACTCAACACTTCGACTATCAACGATATCAGCTTTCCATTGGATTCTGCTTTCGATGAGCTTCTCAAGCTAGCCGAGTCGATTCGCGGGGATTATGACCTCAGACTATATGGGAACACCGCTGTACGGGAAACAGACCAAAGCCCACTTTTGTCATTGCTTGATGCCTTCGTCGCTCTCGAGCAAGAGACCAAGGAGATATCTACTAAAGCCACCGAGATGCTCGATGAGGTATGGAAACCTGGAAACGAGCTTTTGGGGTCCATCTTGGCTTGAATCCTGACTCATACTAATTACTGATCGAATCAATGTAGAGCGGACAGCTGTGCGACAAGCAATTGCGTCCACTAATGTTGAATAATCGTACTACATGCGAGCGTCTCGAAAAAGATCTCTCTACTAGTCAGCAAAGTCTCCACAAGGCCACAGAACCTGTTGCCAACTTGGCAAGAGCGCTGGATAAAGCACGGCGCGACCGAGAAGACGTGGCATCCAGACTGCAATCAATTCGTGATGCCAAACCCGGAGCAGACTTCAGGGTGAGTGAAGTGCGACCAAGTTGTTTTCCTTGAAGAATAATTCAAAGAATCCCAGGCTAACAAGTTGAAGTCGGCTTTCATGGGCCCCATGGGTGCAGTGGTCCAGGCAACAGTCAAAGCCGCACAGTCTCGAGAGGCGATCATTGATCTTCAGAACCAGGCTTCTCGTCTAGATCAAGAGATCAGTGATCTTGACAGCTCATTGGCACAGACCCAATCCAGTGTGTCGCAACTAGAGGGCCAGATCAGCCAGGTGCAGCACGACTACATTCAGCAAACCAGCATCACAGAAGCACTTACCAAGATCAACGAAACGGTCATGGATCGACGCCGGACTGCCTTCTTATTGGTCAGTAAAACTCAAGCGATGAAGGACGGAGCTGTCGCCCTGATGACCCGGACACGAGAGCTTCAGGACGTAGCCAAGGCTGCGAAAGGAAAGGTCACCAAAGATGAGTACGCTCGCGCAGTCATGGATCTGTGCGACAAAAGCGTTGAGGCAAGATTGCGAAGCGAAACGTTGTGGACCGTCATGGCCGAGCTGACATTAGGATATGGAAGCTCGCCGCCAAGCTGGTTGAGTAAAAAGGTTGAGGAGGTTAAAACCATGTCGAAGTTCCTGGCGGGACTAGAAAACAGCCGTCCGAGAATGGAACTTTGACGACCACTAAGGCGTTCCATGGTGTCTATGACGCTGGAACGAAGATGTAGACAGCGACGATATAACTCTTGCGATGTAAATGAGACAGCTGACATATATGAAGAATTGGCAGGTTTGTTTTTGGAAGACGATCACTGTTGGAATCTCGGACGAATGTCCGATGCAGGCTCGCACGAGTTCTAAAGCAAGTAGAGCCGCCCCGAAGATAGATCTATCATCCGATCTGTACACCACGGTATCACGTGGTGAGGTGCATCTAAGTTCGGCCCGATCAGCCACATTCTGCAGCCACACTCTGCAGACCTCACACCACTCACAGATCATGAGGTGTCTCTCCACAATATCTGTGCAACCTCAGCCCATATTAGCTTGCACATGCCGAGCCTGAAGCTCGTACATGGTCGTAGCCTCTGTCGGAGGCCATATCATCATGGCTGCAACCCGTGATGTCAATCGGCGAAAAGTGCGACCCAATAGGGCTAGCATCCTGGCAGTGCCCAACCCACAACGCTGCTCGCACAAACGTGCCTCCATGGCCTCCTGCTACCTCCCCAGTCATCAGTGAACCGCGAAACCAGTAGGATCAGTTCACGACTTCGCATGCCAGACGAGAATACCTGGTGCGCCCTCCAACGGTGCAACGAAATCCAATGAACGGAAAGCGTCCCAGAGCGCCCAGTAGAATGGTGTCGTATCGCGCAAGTAAGCTGGCGCCAGCACTGATGCAATTGCTTGAGTAGCCTCCTCGGCATGGTAAAATGGCATACGCCTGCGAGAAGGGTCAGCGTCATATCGGCGGCTCCACAAGTTAGTCCCACTCACGGAAAAAGATGGTGCACCACATGAAACTCAATGATGCCATGGAAGAGCTTGCGTCCGACCAGACCAAAGTCGCGGTCCACCGTGTTCAACGCGCCGTCGGCGAAGGTCCATGCGGTCTTCTCAAAATGTTTTGCTTCGGGATGGTTATGGTGCAAGAATGTGATTGCAACGATCCAATGATTGACCCATAGATATGGGACGCCGTAGAGAAGCAGGATTTGCCAGCCGAAATTTTGGGCCGCCAGCCACAGCAGCGTACCCATCGCGAGCAAGCCAAGGTCCGATAGCAGAATCTGCATTCGCTGGCTTTCAGAAAACATTGTCGAACCTGGGTGGAAGTGAGACTCGAGAGACCATGCCGTGTCGGCTTTTGCGGAGAAGTTGTTCACTCCCGCAGTGGCATGCATCAAGAGATAGATAGGCCAACCGAGGATCTGATGACCGATCAATAGGATGAGAGTCACCAATGGCGTGTCTTCAGACAGATGCAGTGCCTCGTGCAGCCACTTGGAAACGCTGGGCTCATGCTCACGGCGCGGTACAAAGGCCGTGTCCTTGTCCAGATGGTTGGCGTAACGGTGGTGTTTCGCATGGCTGTGTTTCCAGGAGAAGTATGGCACCAAGAGGAAGCTGTGAAGCACGAATCCGATCGTGTCGCCAAGCCTGCTGTCATCAAAGAGGGCACCATGGCCACACTCATGAGCGATGATCCAAACTCCGGTGAACAGCAGACCTTGGATGTAGCCGTATGCCACCCACGCCAGCACACGGATCCAGTACAGGCTGATGGATGGGATGTAGCATGCTGCCGTCGCGACCGCTGCGACGAGGGTCAGATCGCGAGCAACATATGATAATGAAGTGAGGGTGGAACGTTGGAAACACCGGGCAGGTATCGTTTGTCTCAGCTGGGCGAGAGAGGGCCTGGTATCGGACGTTTTCATCGATGCTGCCGCCATTGCTGATGATGGGGGAGAAATGCTGGTGAAGAGGCAGATCAGAACGGAAGGGGTTCTTTGTTCGCTATGGGATTGCTAGCTCGTTTACTGCTCGGGCAGTCACTTTCTACATTATACTCTTGAATCACCATACCGGAAACTTACAGCCTCGGTTGATCAGGGTCTTTTCGATATCGTTCCTTTTGGACCCAACGTCTGCGTTTGTCTTTCCTTCCCAGCGCTATGACGCCACTATGCGTAGCGTAATATGCACGAGATTGTTCCGAGCAGTGTAGTGATCGAAGTTGGTGATTCGTACCCCCCCTCCTCGACGTCGCCCGACCACATACTAACAACGTCTGTGAATAAGGTGGAAGGATTGTGTCAACTTAGGCTGCATATGCAGCCTGTACGGGGTTGCATATGCAGCCTGCACGGGCTTTGACCGGCATTTTACGATTCACTCGCCGAACAAACTCTCGTGTAGGCATTGACGATCACAAAATGACGATATTCTTCGGAGAAATCCAGGGCAAGATATCACGGCAAGTTCTCAGTCTGGATGCGCCAGATGGGCAGCTAGTGTACCTGGCGGGCGAACAAGCTTTTGGTGTATAAATATGACAGAATTTCGCCCTCGAAATCTTAATGGCCGAAACCATTGCACATCATGAATTCTACGTTGCTTTTCTCGTCGCTTGAGCTCCTGCGCGGATGGGACGTCTCCCAGCACGTGCCTGGGTTGAGCATCAACTACATTGAATTTTCTCCAAGCTCTTTCCTTGCACTTGGGACAGTGGCTGCAGTCCTCATCCATTGGGTCGTCAGTTGCTTCCGAGCCTCTCCCAAGTTATCTCAGCTACCCGGACCTTGGTATGCACCCTTTACCACGCTCCATTTGAAATGGGGTTTCGCAAGAGGCACCATTTGGAAGGACGTGGAGAGGGGTCATCGCAAGTATGGTGATGTTATGCGCCTCGGACCTCGTCAAATCTGGGTAGCGAGCAAAGATGGCGTCCAGAAGATCCTCCACACGATCGACTTACCCAAGGTCACCATGTACGCCGAGATCTCCCGAGATCGCAACTCTCCTGGGCTCTTCGGGGAAATGTAAGATACCAGATCCTGGTCGTGTGGGGACAGCGTACTGACTGCTTGAAGCCGCGCCGGGCCACATTCCAAACTGAAGCGCTTCCTTGGACCTGCGTTCACCGTCACGTCGGTCGACAAACTGGATTTCTTCTTCAAAGCTTGCACTACCACGCTCCTAGAGTGCTATTACCGAGAGCTTGACAGGCAGAATACCGGATTCATCGAGACCGACTTCATGCGGGACCTTCACTGTCTTGCTCTTGACATGTATGCCATCAGGCTGTCTGCGTGTGACGAATGATTTCGCGACTGACACGATTGCAGTATGGGACGAAGCGCATTCGACAAGGGATTCGGCCAGATCGAAAACATCTTCGATCCGTCCAGAATTGTCTCCAAGAGGGACCAGGCTTGGTCAAGGATTCCCAATGCCATTTTCGATGGTCAGGTCAACCGATACCGAGTCAGTTCAAATCCAGCAGTCCACGCGCGAGGCCCGGCTGACAAGTTCACAGTTTGTTTTCTTCAAGCGCGCGCTTCGCCGCATGGGCATCAACATCGAGTTTGACTGGCCGAAAGCGATGACATCGGTAATACCGTCTGCTCACCATTGTCGTGGCACACAGGCTGACCACACATCGCAGGCAATCTCAGAGCTCATCGACATGCGAGCCGGGCAATCTGGGACCAACCGCATTGATGTCCTGCAGCATATGCTCGACAACGGCCAAAGACCTGACACTGGAGCGTGGATGACGAACCAAGACATCATCGATCAAATGTCGGAGATCCTGCTGGCAGGATCCGAGACCACCTCCGGTTCGTACTTCGCTAGGGCAGGCGGTGAACGAAGCTAACAGTCCATAGGCACTGTCGCTTGCCTTTTCCTCGAGCTCGCTCGCAACCCGAGGGTCCGCGCGAAGCTCTTGGCATCATTGCCAGCGCTGGGCCGTCATGACGCTATCCTTGATAGCAAAACGGTGCGCGAGGGCCAGGTCTTCAAGTATCTCGAAGCTTGCATTAAGGAAAACCTGCGCCTCCACCCGATTGCATCCGAGATGGGTCGACGGACCATTGAGCAGGGCGTCACTCTCGACGGGCACGAGATTCCTCCTTACACCGTCGTCTCAGCTTCTTATAGGCAGCTCCACACGGATGAGCGATACTGGCCCCAGGCTCAGATGTTCTGGCCCGAAAGGTGGCTGGATGAAGACGAACGCGAAGGCGCGCCGGCCCCCGAGTAAGTTTCACGTGGATGTATGCCAGAACCGGGGTGAAGAGAGCTAACAAGAAGGACAGTCTGGACGCGTACTACCCCTTCTCCACTGGTAAACACTCTTGCATCGGCCAGAAGTAAGTTTCGAGGATCACGCTAAGTTGACGAGACTGTGGCTAACAAGCACGTGCCGCTAGCTTCGCCTACGCCGAAATTCGCACCGTCGCCGCGAACATTTTGTCTAGATTCGACATTGAAGAACCGAAGTACAAGCACATCGAGTTCCGCCAATTCATTACGATGCAGTTCCACGACGGGTCTTGGAACGTCGTCCTAACGCCCCGCAAGGTTTGACGCACGCGGCGCGAAGCGCCAAGTCAAATTTCAAATCCTAAATGCTCCCGCATTGTCGAGCACATTGCCATGCACGTGCCATGGCTCACTGAGTCGGGATCAGATGTTGCTTCTCCGAAATACGATGCACCTTTCTGTAGCGGGCCAATACTTTGATTGTCAAACACAACACGATGGAATTGAGCCGTCGTGTTAATCTGTTTCATCCCACGATCCTATGGTCCGGCATAGCAGAATCTGTGAAGAGCCCCCATCTGTTATTTCTGTTCGATATCAGCCTGAACAGTCAGGCCGCTAGGGACAGATCGAGGTACAGCAGCTGCAACCAACCTATCTGGACCAAGCGCGCCTCTCCCGATTACAGGCGGTTTTACCGATGTGCTCCTTGATGGCTTCCAATCGCCGTCTCTGCAATTGTCATAGTATTGAAATGGCCCTGAGGCTGCAGCCGCTGCACAATCATGAGGGTAGGGGTTGTGCCGCCGCGGCCGTTTGCAGCAAAGTCGTTTGTGTGTGCTGCGCCAGCTGACGAGAGCCAACCGAGAAACGTCCAAGCGGTAATTCGTCCGAGACCAGCCCAAGCAGTGAATCGTCCGAGATACGCCTGACGGGTGATTCGTCCGAGAAAAGCTTAAGCGATGATTCACGTATAGCGAACATACGGGGACACATCTGGTGCAAGCAAAAGCTACTCTCGTGCGATGCTAGTCGTATAATCGGATTATCCACGCCGCTGCCGTCGCCCACTATCTGAGAAGGGAGAGAGCTCGGAGTGGGCGAAGTGCCGTCACCCTCCTGCATCGCAATTATGTAGCTGTAAAGCACTTCGAGGCCGATGCCTAGACCCTTCCAACACCGTGGATCGTGAACTTGGCTGGATCAAATGTAAGTTCTGCCACGGTGTCGTGGAGTACCACGCCCAGGATACTACCAAGGGCGATCGTTTCCATTCTGAGTGATTACCATCTCCATTTCACGACTCCATTCCTAACGTCGCCGTGGAACACCTTTCACACGCTCGACTCTGGAGCACGTGGGCACCCACGTCTGCTAATCCAGGTGTTTTGCACTGGTAGTCCGGAAAGCATTTGGAGCTGGCGGCCCTGGTGTCCGAATCTGGTGTGGCCCAGGGAGCTGTCAATCGCTCCTGATATTTGATCTACGGCCGACCGAGGTCAGTCGGGCATGTTCGCGATGGCAATCAGAATCGTGGAAGATGGACACCCGTCCAACACAACGGAGAGTATCGGCGATTTCGCGATGACAGTCTTGCAGAACATTACCTAGGCGGGGATGAAACGTTTAGCATACCTCCATGACGACTTGTCAAACACACACCTTCATGATCCTCGGGTACATGTGTGAGCACAGTTATCGTTTACTCCACCAATCTCGCAAACCCCACCAGACACCATCACGGACTTCTGTCTCGCTGACTCTTCAACATGCAAAAGGACTTGCGCCTACAGAGTCTCGTCCGGCAGGCACGCTCCAAAGCGCCTTTCTATTCGAGCTTCTACCGGGATTTGCCTGCCTCTGAGGCACATCCTGTCACCCTGACAGATCTGCCTATCATCGATCATGCCGAGTACTGGGCTGCTCATGCTCGGTCGGAATCGCTTCTTCTGACGGATGAGCAAAGCGACGGCATTGTCATGCGCACGGGTGGTAAGCTACGAATCCCTCGGCGAGATTCGAATCCGGATATGCCCAGAATGTTTCATGACCATCTTGAAAACAGGAACCACCAGCATCCCCAAATTTTTCATGTATTCGCAAACGGAGCTGCAGCGTACTGCTCTACTTCTCGCCACAGGCCTTCTCCGCGCCGGTCTTGTGGCGGGACATCGAGTCGCAAATCTCTTCTACGCCGGGGACCTTTACGGCTCGTTCCTGGTTCACATCCTGAGCGTCATGTCCGGTCGGCGTGCGGTAAGAATTCACGATAGTCGTATGCCTGGTCGTCCTTTGTTCTGCCTTGCCAGTCGCGGTCGATGTTGTCGATCACCATCAGCCAGTTCGTGTTGCCCGGCAGCGACAGCCATTGCCGC